GGAACACAAGCACGCCGGCTGGGCTCCCATGATGCTCCGCTCCTGAAGTGGCATCTGTTGCCTCTTTCATGTCTCTTCAGGCTAAGTGGGAGCTGTCACGTCAGGAGGGCCGCCCCCGCCCTCGCCTCCTCCCCTCCCTCTCTTCTCGGCCCCACCCCCACCCTCTGAGGGCTCCAGACCCAGGGACCGCGTCCCCCTCGGCCCCCGCCGCCCCTGGGCATCCCTTTTCTCCTGCTGTGCAGCTTAAACCGCTGCCCCAGTCATGCCGGGTCCCCAGCTCGGGGCGCCTGTCATTGACCCCTCAGGGCCCAATCAGGATGGGTGTAAGTGGTCCAGAAGAGAAGTTGTGTGGACTGTGGTTTTGTAAGTTCTGGGTGGGAATTCTGCGCTAAACATTCTGCGTTCACTGTTGCTGCTGCCATTCCATCATCAGTAATTGGGAAGTTTTGTTTTGTTTTTTAAATAGTACCATTTGCTCTGGAAATGTCTCTTGAAGCCTGCCTCCTTCCTCACAGCCTTCACAGAACATGACTGTGTTGTCTGCCTGCCTAGTCTTCGCCTCCCATTTCTGCCCATTTTCTTCTATCATCTCATAGACCTATAGTCTGTGATTGATTTTCCTAATGATTTGACATCTCACTCTTGGATCTTAGTCACATTGGCAAACATGTAAAGCAAGCTTAAAACTTATTCGTCTTATTTATTGGAGATGATTATTTTTGATTAGCGCCGTACATTGTAAATAATGCTGAAGTTGGTCTTTACCTCGTAATAACGGATCATTGTTGAGCCCCTTACAAAGTGAGTATTTGCAAGAGGATTCCTAGGTCTTTTGCTCCTTGCATGTATGAGTTGGTTTCTGCGTACAGCATAATGATCTTTTAATAATCTGAATTTGGGTGACTATTCCATTCCTTCTGTTGGGTGCCCGCAGGATCGTATCCCTTTCTGTTGCTAGTTTTATCTCACACAGTCATCCTTTTTTCCTGCGTTGAGCCCCTAGCTTCATTGTCTTTTTTTTTACAATGGAAGGTGGTTCTCCTTAAGGGTCTTTATAGGTTCTCTTGCCCAGCATACTCTTCCTCTGGATCTTTGCAAAGCTGTCTCATTCTCAAAGAGGACTTCCTTGTGCCCTGTGGAGAACTTTTCCACCCCACCACCTCCTTTATTCTGAGATAGATTTTGTAAGTAACATCATCTAAGTCAGTTTAAAAAAATTTTTTTCAAAAGTTTATCTTTAATAAGAGAAGTGTGTTTGATTATACTTCATTAATTTGAAAGTTTTGAAACTTCTTAAGTTTAGCTATTTGAGGCCTCCATCTGTTCCAGATTGTTTTAATGACCATCATATTCATATTTGTTAAAAGTTTATTGTTGGATGCTCTAAATAAATGAACAGACTTTTTTTTTTCCAATCAAAAGCAAAGTTGTTTTTTGTTGATATTCAGCTAGTAAATTTCCATTATTACTAGTTTTTGATGCTTTTGTAGATTAATAAAAGCTGTTGCATTTTTATGTTTTACCAGGTAGGTTCAAATTTTATCAGAACTCTTATTTTGGAAGAATTTTAATCAAGATAAGTTGTGTTTTTTTAATGTATAGATGCAAATAGGTTAATGTAGTTTTTTTGCAACAAAATTATGGAAACACTAAGACACTGTTTTCAGATTTTCTTAACAGAAAAAGATACTTTTTGATAAGCAGTTACTTTGAAGCTTATTTTTAAACCATACTTTATATCTTGAAACAATAGATTGTGTTCATTTAAAAAACCAAACTTTTAGAGATCAAACTATCATCCCCTTCTCAGTACAAATAAAAAAGGATAGCAATTTTGGAATATTTAATGTTAACCGTTCTGTGAGGTGAATCTTCTTATTGCAGAATCCATCTCCCTCTTTTGTTTATGGCTAGTACCGTAAGTGACATTTGACAGATGGACATAGAGACTGGAGCAGAAGGCAGTTCCAATCTCAATTTAGTAAATGAATGTGTTTTTGCAGATTAATAGTATACATGGGGTTTCAAATTTTTCTTTCTGTTTCTTGGTGGATTAACTTGTGTCCTAGAACTGAAGAAACACTAATCACTGAGAGGAAGACCTTGACTGTGCTCAGAACTTCACTGAAACAAGAGGTCTGCAGTTGGTTGTAGGAGCAGAAACCAGTCTTCATAAAAGTCATGATTTGTAGCATATGTAGAAGAGGTGTGTTAATTTGTAGTAAATTTTGTTGCTGTAGTTTTACATAAGAATTCCAAGTGAATCTGAGAATGGATTTATCCAAAGAGAAAATTTGCTTAAACTATGTGAGAGTTTGTTTTAGTAAGATGGGACGTAAAATTCAGTGTAGGTTTTAATACAAAAGAATAAATTATGTTGTTTAATTGTAAAGACAGTAGCCAGGTATCTTTTATAAATTTAATGTATTAAAAGCTAATTATTTTGTTAGTCAAAAAAGCAATATAATAAAATTTGTTTTTATTTTGAAATGATTGTTAACTAGGAATCTCATGCTTAATCCTATTTATGGAATTCGTACAGTGAAATTGCTAACCCCTTCCTCAAAGGAAATGAGAATGAGCACTCTGGCACAGTAACTAGCATTACATTTCCAATAAATAAGTAAGAGTTTAGAGTGAGAAATAGCCCCTGAACCATTGGAGTAATTCTAAGCCAGGGATGGAGGCCTTTTGCTGTTATCCCTCCTTAGTCTGTAATTCAGAGTTCACATGGGAATAGTGTAGTAAATTTTGACTAAGTTAATAAGCATTAATATGTTAATAGTATCAAAGTATTTTTGGAAATTCTGAAACAGCTAATATTGAAACCTTACATAGGGGAAATAATTGGATTATAAATGAATCTTTGGAGCATAACATGATTGTAGTTTGGGTTTATCCATAGAGAGAATAGAATTAAGTCATGTAACAGACTTAAAATGAGAATAGGTTTATAATACCTTAACTATAGTTCTGAATTATTGGATATGTGTGACTTGAAAAAAGTTAAAAAAAATTTTTTTTGAGTTTTAAAACTGAATACAGTACCTTTGTTTTGGTACTAGGAAGTTTTTTTTTTTTTTAATTTTGTTTTGTAGTTGTAAATAGACAGAATGCCTTTATTTTATTTGTTAATTTTTACGTGGTGCTGAGGATCGAACCTAGTGCCCCACACATGCTAGGCAAGCGCTTTGCCACTGAGCTATAGCCCCAGCCCTATACTAGGAAGTTTTGAGTTAGATTTATAGCATATTTTGTTTTTATATTGGATTGAATTAAAAGATTCAGTCAGGAAGTCACTGACTTACACATGTATAGTGTGAAAGTTCATTTAAAAATTAGCTATTTTGTAAGTTTATAAAAAGGTCTCTTTTACTGCCTGTGATGATAATAAATAAAGTTGCCATTTATTAATAATCACTGCTGGATATGGTATTAGGAACTTGCTATATATGGTCTTATTGCATGCTTATAATAATCCTGCCCATATACTATTTACTGTTATGGTTACTAAATACCATTTGAGATAAATACACTTTTACTTTATGGGTGAGGAAATTTAAGAGCAAAAGCTGATAAGTAACCACCCAAGATTATGCTGCTAGTAAATGATCAGCTCAGATTCTGTACTCAGGTGGCTCTGACTCCAACACCTTTTTGCTTAGCTTCATCTCCTTTGAGGAGCCTCATGACTCAGAGAAGGATAAATTATTTTGAAATATATTTTTCATCCTGTCCTCCCTCCAGAAGCTGCAATGGGTGCTTTTCCTTGAATATGTAGCATGAAAATGCCTCAGGAGTTTGAGTCTTTAGATATAAGATGTTTGTACTATTGATAAGCTGTATCCTCTCCCTACTTTTTTTTCCCACAGAAAAAGCATCGATGTAGGTTTGATGGCCAAGAAACAAAAGGATCTAAGTTCATTACCTCCAATGGAAGTGATTTCAGTGACCCAGTTTACAAAGAGATTGCTATTACAAATGGCTGTATTAATAGAATGAGTAAGGAAGAACTCAGAGCTAAGCTTTCAGAATTCAAGCTTGAAACCAGGTAACTAAAAATAACTTTAAAAAATTACATGCTCACCTTAGGAAATTGTGAAAATACTGAAAAAAATTATCTGTATTCATACTTTAATAACAATTGACAATTCAAGTAAGAATTGTAATTGATATTCTTGTACATAAATCTTTGTGTGCAACTCTATTTCTATCAGTCTTTTAAATGATAAAATAACACTATTCAATCGAAATCCAGGAATATCTGCTAGCATAGCTAGGAATCTATCTAACCAAAACAAATACATTTAAAATTTTTGTATGGTTGCTTTGTTTACTTGATGGATAGTTATATCTTATTAATGATGTTGAATATTTTTGTTTTTATTTTTCTTTGGCCATTTGTATTGTTTTTGTAAGGAGAATTGTCTGAAACCAGGTAATTTAAAGAAATCATTCATTTTTCAGAAATTTTTTTTTATTGTTTTAACTTCTAAAACTAATACAGAATGATTGTGTGTATTATATTTCACTGTGTATTGAAAGAGAAAAAATGTAGCTTAGATAGCTGTTTCTGTATTTTTAGTGAGATAAACACATACCTAAATTTTTAATATATTTTATAAAGCAAATTACTTTTTTCTTTAGTATAGGAAAGGAATGACTTGGAGTCCAGAAAAATGTATAGATTTTTAATGAACAGTAGAATTGCTAGGCATCAAGAAAGAAATTGTATGTGATAGATGAAAAGGTATTAAATCCTTATTCCTATCTCAGTAGAATTCCTCCTCTTTGCTTTAAGATAGAGCTTCACTACTTTTCAGAAGAGCACACATAATTTTTTTCCCTTCTAAATTGTCTGTATCATAATTTGTGAAGAAATTTTTGACTTCATTTTTCCCTGACTCTTTCTACTATGAAGGTCCACTCTATAGCCTACAGAAGACTTTCTGAGCAAAATTTTTATCCTTCCCAGGTGTGAAGATCATTTGCTTGCTTCTGGCTTGCATGGGAGCTAGAGATCTAGATGTATGTTTATACATTTATTCAACAAGCCTGTATTGAATTCTAAGCACTACACTAGGCATTGAAGTTATAAAGGTAAATACAGATATGTTTCCCTGCTTTGGAAATCTCACAGTCTTTTAGGAAAACACAAAAATAAATAATTACAGTACAGAGTGGCCAGTACTATATTGGAGGCCTGGCCAAGTGCAGCACAAGGATACAGGAGAGAGTGTTTCTCAGGAATTCAGGAAGGTGACATTTGTAACAAACACAAAATGGCTAGAGGAGGATATTTCAGGCTTTTTTTGGTGAAGAAATATTTGACACCATTTGTGAAGAAAATTTTGACTAAAAATCTTTTGATTCCTGTTTTTAGATTTTTTTTGGTTATATGATTTGCCTTTTTAAAAAAACTACTATAAACCAGTTACAGAACATGAAAACATACCACATATTGAGGCCAGGGCCTATAGTATGTTTTGTCTGCAGTATCTGATATACTGGTGTGCAGTGGGGATGCAGGGATGTTTAACAGTGATACTGAAATGATAGGTCATAGCAGTGTGAGGAGCACTATACTGAAGTTTACATTTTACCAAGTAAAAAGAATGGACCTGTAAAGATGGTTGGGTAGGAAGTTGGCATTGATGCTCAGTTCTTAAGTAAGGTAACGAACGAATTTGCTATAGTGCAAGAAGCTGATGGGAGCTATAGCAAAGAGAATTAAGGAAAACCAGATTCTGAATGTTTTTTTTGAAGTTGGAATTAGTAAAAGTGGTTGAGTATGAGAGGGAGCAAGGGAGATATTAAGGATGACAGGTTTTTATCCTGAGTATTTAGTTATATGTTTGTACTACTGTTTGGTTTTTCAGGTAGCCATTTAGTTAGTATGGTTTCTCCCCCTGGAAACAAATAAACAAAACAAAAAGGAAAAGAAATTTTAAGACAAAGTACTCTGAAGTAACAGAGGTCACTTACAATGACTTAAAATGAAAGGGGTTGAAGAATTTGCTTGTTAGGTTTCAGTGATTTGGAAAATCCCATAAAACATTTTGTCTTAAAACAACCAACTAGTTGATTATCAGTGTTATCATGGGTAGGATTCCTTTGTCACTGCTTTGTTGAACTTAAGAAAGGAATACAGGCAAAAAAGAAAACAAAAATACAAAAACCTTTCTTAAAGTTCCTAACTGGCAATGTGACCAAAATACCTTACTTGGCAACTAAATATTAATTATAAGCTAGAGCCTTTTATTTTTACTACAGTTTTGTATTTATTTGTAGGCCGGTTCATTATTGAGCCAAGTAACAGTGAAGGAAACATAAGCACTGGCTGTGACATTTTTAAGTTATTGAAGAAATACATATTGTTTGAATATGTGATCACTGTTTATCAACCATTGTTATCTATGTAGGAGGACCCTTCCTTTCTCCCCTACTCATTTGTAGAATATGTATTTTAAAGCTTTGTGAAATATTGAAATTTCCAGATTATATTTTCCCCAAGGTAATTTAAGAAACTTCTATGATAATGTTCTGTGGATTATAGTTTACTCTTAGGATGGTATTGCTAAATTAGTTATACAGATAGTCAACTTTATGTTCTAGGCTCATAATGCTTTTGTATCACATGGAGTTTTTAGTTGTCTAAACTATAAATGCCAAAAGAAAGGAGGAGATAGTAGAGTATGTTCAATTTACTTAAATTTTTATCTCTCAAACGTATATGGCCAACAGAATGATTCAATATTAGTTTTTAGTTTTTATATCATGTCATCTTAATAGATAAGGCAGTATGGCTGAGTTAGTGGTATAGGCTGACAAAATTTATGATTTAAAATACCAAATATATATTAGAGAAATGCTCTTCTATACCATTAAAATGAACTGTTACTTGTGAAGGAAAATGTTGATGTTGTTTTATGCATTTTTCTGATTTAGCTTTGAGTCTTACTTTGCAATTTAGCTAAAGTATGCCATGACTGTCAGTGTTCAACCTATTGCCAGCAGGTAAGAGTTCGGAATTTTGACTGTAAAATTCACCTAAGTAAGTTTTTTATTCTTTTACTTAGAGGTGTAAAGGATGTATTAAAGAAGAGACTGAAAAACTATTATAAGAAGCAGAAGCTAATGTTGAAAGAGAGCAGTTGTGCTGATAGTTACTATGACTACATTTGTATTATTGACTTTGAAGCCACTTGTGAAGAGGGTAATCCACCTGAGTTCATACATGAAATAATTGAGTTTCCTGTTGTTTTATTGAATACTCATACCTTGCAAATAGTAAGTGAATTGTTATATCTTCATTTTATTTTTAGCAGCAACTATTTTGGTGTTCACTACTAAGTTGGAGGGTCTCATTTGCCATTTTAGCTAGAATAGAATTTTAAAGTGAGCTTTTTGCTCTTATATTAGCTTAACAGAAAAAAAAAACTATAATCAAACAATAGTGGAAATAGCTTCTCCCCCTTTCCAGTAGCTAACATTATAATAGTGTTTTTTGTTTGCTTGTATCTCAGTATACATCAAAACCACTTGGGGAGGAAAAAACAAACAAAAAAAAAAACAAAATCAAACTAATGTTTAGGCTGGGTTTGTAGCTCAGTTAGTAGAGCATTTACTTTGCATGTTTTGAGGCTCTGGGGTTCTATCCTCAGCACAACATCAAAACAAATAAATAAAATAAAGGTATTCTGACTACAACTAAAACAAACAAAAATACCCAACAGATGTTTGGTTCTATTCCCAGAGGTGCTAGTTTAGTTTCTGTCATAGGGCCCCTGACATCAGCATATTTTTTTAAAAAAGCGTCACAGGTGGTTTTAACTAATCTTTAAAAATGACAATTTATAGAAATAACTGGCCATCTTTTTGATGGAAAGTTTATTGAGGAAACAGCTCTTATAACCTTGGTTTCTAAGCAACATAGTATGTATGCTTTAGATAATTATTATTAGTACATTCATAGTTCAAGAAATCATAGAATAAATTCCCCAGAATAGTACTTTTATATAATCTGAGTGAGTATATATCAGAACATCTTATCTATCTGAAAATCACTTCTGTAATAACTCTATTGCCACCAACACACTGGCAGTAAGTATAAAAAGGCTTTGCATGAAAATGAATGGCTTTTTCTGTTGAGAGCTCTTCCATAATCCCAGTGATTTGGGAGTTCGAGGCAATAAGTTCACGGCCAGCTTGGGCAATTTGGCAAGGCCTTGTCTACAAAAAGGCTAGGTGTGTAGCTCAGTAGTCGAGTGGCTCTGGGTTCAATCCCCAGTACCACAAATAAACAATTACCTGATAATTCTGGTGACTGAATTTGTTGTGTAGGGTCTGTCATATATTGGGTCATATTTTTAACTTGTTATCCTTTTCTTTAGGAAGATACATTTCAGCAATATGTAAGACCAGAGATTAACACTCAGCTTTCTGATTTCTGCATCAGTCTTACTGGAATTACTCAGGTTATAATTTTGTGTTCCTTTTTCTAAAGTTTGAAAGACGTTTTTTAATTTGGGATTTATTTTATAGATGTTTTTAAAAAGTCATTGTTATGAACAATTTCTGGCAAGGCTTTTTTCTTAACTGTGTTGTGATCACTGGCTTATTCTGCCTAGCCTCCTGACTTCCAGACTGTAAGGATACTGAAGATACAGACTAACTAGACTGTGAATGTTTTCCTTACTTGGTAAAGATCTTTCACATTATAATAAAAAGACTTAGAACTTGGCATGAGGGCTTGGCCCTAGCTACACAGAATGCTGAGGTGTGATGTGTTGGGCTCAGGAGTTCTCATTTGGTCTGGGCAAGATAGTGAGACCTGCATCTCAGAAACAAAAAGCACATTTTACTTTTCTTTTATGGAGTTGTAATTGTGCATCTAAAGATTTCCTGTGTAAAATGGAGCATTAGCAAAGTCAGTATTATTGTGCTGTACTTGAAGATAAGGTTTAGAATGTATGTGTGTACAACTTGACTGTATATGTACCTTAATTTGTTTTTTAGTGTGATTTTTTTTGTTGTAGTATTCTAATAAGTAGGCCCTTCGTTCATCCATTTATCTACTCCACACATATTTGATTATCTACTGAAATATATGTTATAGAACTAGGGAATCAGTCTAGTCAGTCTCTGTCTTCATCTTTCTTTTTTTTTTCTTTTTTTTTTTTTTTTTTTTTTTTAAAGAGAGAGTGATAGAGGAGAGAGAGAGAGAGAGAATTTTTTTAATATTTATTTTTTAGTTTTCAGCGGACACAACTCTTTTGTTTGTATGTGGTGCTGAGGATCGAACCCGGGCCGCACGCATGCCAGGCGAGCGCGCTACCGCTTGAGCCACATCCCCAGCCCCTCTGTCTTCATCTTTCTTATGATCTATAAGTCAGACAAAATAATCCACGTAATTAGGAAGAGTGACAAAATAGTATTTTATTAGGGTATTGTGGGCATCTATAAAAAGGATTTTTGTATGTGTAGAGGGCTATCCTAGGAAAAGCTTCCTCATGTTGGTGATCTTTGACTGAGTCATGATAGTAAGTAAACAGGAAGGAGGGTTGAGCATTTCACTTGTGAAACAGCAGATACATATAGTTCAGGATGGCTCAAATGTGCATGGGCTAGTGAAAAAATGGTCTAGGTAGCCAGAGGCAAATCAGATCATGAAAGCTCTTGTGTGTCCTTTTATCCCAAAGCCTTGAAGAGTGTCTGGAAGATATTGAGAGTGATAGAGTAGGTCAGATTTACATTTTAGTAAGTCCAGTTTGGCAGCAGTGTGTATATAGTGTGGTGTGTAAAGGTGTGAGACTTGAGTTGGGAAGACCACTTCATAGGCTATGGCTTTGAGCAGATAAGAGATTGCCCTTTTTTCTACTCTGAGAATCAGTAAGCTACTAGGTTAAGGCCTCTAAAAAGAGAACCATTGGGGATGGTCTTAGGTCTTAATTTTGGGAGAATTATATACCTCAGTTGAAAGTAATATCTACTACTTGGCTATAAACAATTTTTAATTATTTAGATGGTAGATCTATCTAACTGAAGGAAACTATGAAGAATTTAAAACAAATAAGCCATCCTCTTATTGATAATTTTCTTCTTGTATATGTCAGGGTGTTTTGTAGGACTATAAGTGGTTGTCTTAATTTTTACATATTTTACTTGTATTTCTTCAGGATCAAGTTGACAGAGCTGATACTTTTCCTCAGGTACTGAAAAAAGTAATTGACTGGATGAAATTGAAGGAATTAGGAACAAAGTATAAATATTGCATATTAACAGATGGGTAAGTATTTAGGGAATTTACCTTTTTAAAAATTATTTTTTAGGATTAAAAATTACCTTATTTAACTTAGGATGCCACTCTAGGGCCTTTAATAAATAAAAATATTTATTAAAATATTTCAATAAATAAATATTTGCTAAAGGCTCTAGAGTCATCCCATAGGAGATAGTATTTTCCCTTTCTTATTTTTACTCCTACTTAAATTTTGAATCCTAGAGATCAAAGAGGAGGGAAAGCAATGATAACATTGCTAGAAGTTATGAAAGACTAGAAGTCTAGAAAGATAAATATTAATATGTGAAACTAAATGTCTTTCCTAAAACTGATTTTAAACACATTTGTCTTCTTGCAGAAGTTCAGCTTGGCATTCAAGGTTTCTCATCCCACTGTATCCATTTAGCCTAATCCACCTGCCATTATTCATTTTTAGTCAGGCTACCCATGAATTTACATGGTATATGCTTTCTTTGTGTACTTCATGTTTTCCTGTCTGCTGAGAATCTCTTTCTCATTATTTCTTTGTCATTATTCAAAGCCTTAACGTAGTCTTTTTACCCAGATTTTACATTTCACGTTGTTTGTTAAAGTCTTATACCCTATATGATGTATTTCATTCTGACTACATATTCTTATATCTAATGTTTATTCATGTAGGACTTATTTTTGCAAGGAAATTAAAAATTATTTTAGGGTAAGGATTTTTATTAACCAATAGTCTTCCACAATGCTTAAATGCTGAGCCCAAAGTATATGCCCAACAAGCATTTGTTAAGTGAAAGGCTAAACGGGAAGATCAGAAAGATTAAAACCAGGATTACAGGCATTGTGCAAGAGCAACTCCTCTGCCATAATGCCAATAAGGTTGAAGAAGAAAATCCCAAATAATTTCTGTATTAAAATGTAGATGGTTTGTACTCTAATGCTGAGATTTGCCAACCTGAAGGATTTGGGAATCTCTCATATAAGAACATTGAATTTAATCACATCATAGTTGAGTTTAGAAGTTTGGGAAGATGTTGATGGACCTTTGTGGAAATCTGTCACTGATTTTAAACATGAATAAGCAATATTCCTGCTAATGTTGACAGGTGCTTCTATCATACCACAGTATATGCAGTTCTGTAAACACCTCAAATTCTGGGACAAATCATTGGAAAACCTGTGCAAAACTAAAACAGTAATTGATACTTTCAGAAATATTTGGACAGCCAGGCAAGCAACTTCTCAGGCTCGTTGGAGGTTGCTTCAGGATATTAAAAGTACGCAGAAACAGTAGGATCCTAGAAAAAGGCACTTGAGTTTAATTTTCCTAAAATACATTTGAAAGCTTACCTGTTGTGCCAGGGTAGCTGCTGAGTCGAAACCTTTTTTATTTCCTGCTGAATGTTATAATTTCTATTGCTATTCTGATTCCCCTTGTCTAAGAAAAACCATGTATGAACCAACACAATTTCTATATTGCATATTCAGTATCGACTACCTTAACTAAAACATGTTGATTGGTGTTACAGAAAGATATAGGTTGCAAAACAGACATTTTAACCCCATTATATATAATCATTCTATGTATTTGTTTTTGTTTTTTGTTGTATTTTAAAACTTATCTAAGAACTTACTAATATGGCATACCTGGCATTACACAGTTATCTTAACAATTACAAAATAAAAGAGAGAAGGAAAAAAAAAAAACTTAACAAGACAGAAGACTGTCCAGTCATCAGCACCATAAAAACAATCAAGATGAGCCTAACCAAATTTAGTTTGTGAAAAAAAACTAATATGCCAACTTTCATCCCACCTTTAAAGTTAATTTTTGAAGTAAGGTGTTGTAAAAATTCTTAATTTTGTAAGCTTGATGTTTTGTGTGAATATGGGAAAGTTGATATGTGTAGATTAAAAAAACAAAATGACTTAAAATACTCATTTGTGAGAATAGTATAGCCCTTACTTTATCCTCTTTTCCCCTATGTTTCTGATTTATAAGTTCATGGGATATGAGTAAGTTTTTGAACATGCAGTGCCAACTGAGCCGGCTCAAATATCCTCATTTTGCTAAAAAGTGGATCAATATTCGAAAGTCGTATGGAAACTTTTACAAGGTAAGATTTTTATATCACTGATTGTATTATTCTTTTAAAAATGTTTTTATTAGTGCACTATAGTAATACATAACAGTGGGATTCATTTGGACATAATTATATGAATGCAGAATATAAATTGCTCCATTTCAGTCCCTGGTGCTTCCTCTTTACCTCCCTTCCTCCCTTTGCCCTGATTATCCTATTCTTAATGAAAAGTTTGATGTTTTGCATGTACACTAATATGTGATTTTCTAAGTGTTTTTTTACAGAGGAGTTCTATATAATTAATTGTTACTTCCTAGATTCCCATTTAGTTATGTTCAATTTAGAAAGATAGACCATTTTTCTCAATCTGTTATTTAAATATGCAGACTATATATTGAAATGGCAAAAGTTTGAAACAATTTAAGGATATTCATATGTGAACTGTTTGTGGAACAAACAGTCCACAACGGACTTTAATTTTACTTTACTTCAAAGTTAGAACGTGTGTAGTGTAAATTTTAAAAGTAGTACTACAATCCTTATAACAAATTCGGTCATCTGCCACGGCTCTCAACAGAACTGGTTCTTATTCTCCTGAGGCATACATTTTCAACTATTAAACTGTTTTGTCAGGTATTCATCTTTATATTTGCATGCATTTACTGTTTCTTGCATTTTCACTTGATATATCTGTTGAATTCCTGCATTGAAAGATGAAGGTTTAGTTCCATAAACCCTCTCCTGCTTCTGCATGTCCTTCCTGTTCTGCATCTTTTGAATTTAGTTGTATTACTTTTGTAGTCAAATCATTATTTATTATTTATGGTCTTTGACTAGAGAGTATTCACAACTTTTCTCTAGATTTAATAATTCTTTACTCTTTACTTATTTCATTACTTTCAAACTGAGTCACTTCTCAATACTGAAAATACTTAGGTTGTGTATTGGTTGTTCAAGGACTACTTACCTGAAGCCTTTAATCTTGTTCAAAGCTGAATAATTTGTTCTTTAGTCTTCTACGATCATCCTAGGGGATTTCCTTTGCTTCTCTATTATGTGTTAATACCCTCTGTGATCTTTCTCCCTTCAGTTTCATTTTGGTTAAACATTCTAAAGTAGTTTCATGAGAAAAGGTGCTTTTCCTTAAAAACCTTTGTTGTCTCTTTAATGTTTTGTTTTTTTAAAAAAAATTAAGAATATAGGGAGAAAGACACATTCATACATTGCTGGTGAGATTGCAAATTGGTGCAACCAATATGGAAGGCAATATGGAGATTCCTTGGAAAACTGGGAATGGAATCACCATTTGATCCATCTATCCCTTTCCTTGGTCTCTATACCCAGAGGACTTACGATTAGCATACTATAGTAAACATAGCCACATCAAAGTGTATAGCAGCATAATTCAAAATAGCTAAATTGTGGAACCAACCTAGATGCCATTTAGTAGATGAATGAATAAAGAAAATGTGGTGTGTATATATATACACACTAAAACATTACTCAGCAATAAAAGAGAATAAAATCATGGCATTTGCAGGTAAATGGATGGAGTTGTAGGATATTATGCTAAGTGAAGTAAACCAATCCCAAAAAACCAAATGCTGAATGTTTTCTTTGATATAAGGATGCTGATCCATAATGAGAATGGGGTGGGGGAGCATGGAAGGAATAGATAAACTCTAGATAAGGCAAAGGGGAGGGAGGGGAAGAGAGGGGGCAGATGAGTAGGAAAGACGGTGGAATGAGATGGACATCATTACCCCAAGTACATGTATGAAGACACGAACTGTATGACACTACTTGGTGTATAGCCAGAGACATGAAAAATTGCGCTCTATATGTGTACTGTGAATTGAAATGCATTCTGCTGTCATGTATAACAAATTAGAATAAATAAATTTAATAAAACCAGAAATATGTATACAGAAGAGTAGAGTTGGACACATTGTTTGAAAGTGAATGCCCTTGTAACTTCCATCCGCTTTACTCTTTCCTCCCCCCCCCAGCTAATTATATTTCATGGTAATCATTTTTTTGTTTTTCTTAATAGCTTTAATATTAATATATATCCTTCTGTAACTTGACTTTGCCTATTTTTGAACATGATATAATTAGTATTATAATGGCTGAAGTATTTATTTTGCTTTTTTGCTTAACATTGTGATTGAGAACCATTCATTGTATATATGGCTGCATCTCATTTACTTTATTGCTCTACAGAATTCCATTGTGTGAATATACCTGTTTATTAGTTCTACTTTGGCTGACCATTTGAGTTATTTTTAATTTCATACTTTTTCAAATACTGCTGCTATAAACATTTTTATACATATCTTCTGATGGCTTTGTGCAATCTGTTTCTGTAGGGTTTAAACCTAAGAGTGGAATTGCTAGGTCAGTGTATTGTTGATATTACTAGATGATTCCAAAATAGTTTTCCAAAAGTGTACCAGTTTGCACTCTCATCAGCAGTGTGTGACTTTACATTTGGTCTAGGTCTTTGCCAGCACCTGATAATTGCCAGAAATTCTAAATGTTTGTAAATCTGATGGATGTGTGTAACCATGTCATTAACCTTCTGACTTGTATTTCCCTGTTTACTCATAAGGTTGAGCTCCTTTTTTTTTTTTTTTTTGGTATGCTTATTAGCCATATAGATTGCTTTTTTTGTGAAGTCCCTGTTTAAGTCTTTTGCCCAGTTTTTGAAATTGGATAGACCTTTCATTATTAGTTTATAGATCTTTATTTCTAGTTCTTTGATTATATTTGATAATTTTTCCCCCTTTTTTGATTTTTCTTTTCACTCAATTTATGATTTCAAAAATTTGTTATGGAAAATTACAAACCCATAGAATAGAAAGGTGTAATGAATCCTCATGACCCAGTTTCAACAGTTATAAATTCATGGGCAATCTTGTTTCAGCTATATCCGCACTTTTCTTTTCCTTATTATTTTGAGTCAAAGCAGACGTCATCTCATTTGACCTGTAACTATTTCATAAAATAGGCTCTTTTGATATACCATTATTGCAGTAAATAATTAAGAGTAATTTCTACTGTTGTCCAGTAGTCATGTAAGTTTTCTTTCCTCTCCCTTTTCCCCCCTAGCAATTATTGTACTTTTCTTTCTTTTTTTTTTAAAAGGAACAGTTATTCTTTTTTCAGTAGTATAAATTTTGCTATTGTATTCTGCAGTGTAGTTTCAAAGGTGCCTCTGTCCTCTTAGATTATGTAACTTTGTAGGGGCTCGATCACCTGTAGGATCTTTTTTGCTATAGTTCCCAGATGATAATGCATCCTTATATTAGACCATTCTTTCTCAAACTTGGAACTTAGATGAATAATTTAAGACTTATTAATAGTTAACTAAATCTTAAGATGATTTTTAGGTCTGAATAAAAATGTCTATAGCTTGTAAAACATTATTGTAATTATAACTATAATGCAGATACTACAAGGCAATACAATTGCCAGTGCTCTTGAGTAGATTTTGGCCATTTCATTGGGTGTGGTTTCCCCTCTTTCATAATAGATACCAATCGTAATGCCAGTTACAAACATAAGTAGAAGAAAGTTACAGTTTCCTTTTTAAAAAATTTCCTCCTTTTTTGTTTTGTTTGCTTTATTCAGTTTTATCAGAAATTTCTACTGTGTATGGTGGTAACCACATATGGTTGATGGTATGTAGTTTATACGAGAGTTGTTTTTGTTTTTTCCCATTTTTTTAAAAAAATGAGTTTTTACCCTACATCTCTTGAGAGTGGAGGGTAGAAATGGATAATTAGAGAGTAATTTTTTTTTACTTTTCATAAATTTAAAAATTTGGAAGGTGCTGAGTATGGTAGCACATGCCTTTAATCCCAATGGCTCATCACTGAAGCAAGAGGATTATAGATTCAAACTATTAAAAAATAGTCAGCCTCAGCAACTTAGTGAGGCCCTAAGCAACTTAGGGAGACCTTGTCTCAAAATAAAATGTAAAAAGGGCTGGTGGTGTGGCTCACTGTTTAAGCACCCCTGAGTTCATCTCTGGTACCAAACAAACAAAAATCTTAAGGCTAACATTGTATATTTTTGTGAAATAACCAACTCTATTAATTAGCTTTTTGTCAGACAAAGTATCTGACAAGAACAACTTAGAGGATGAATGACTAACATTGGTTCACAGTTTCAGAGAGTCAGTCCATGGTCTGCTGGCTCCAAGGAAGAAACATGGCAGGGGAATGCTTCTTGGCTCATAGTGGCCAGGAAATAGCAAGAGAGCGAGAAAGATGGAAAGACAGGAAGGGGACAGGGACAAGAAATTATCTCCAAGATCATGTCCTTGGTGGCTTCCTTCCTCCGGCCACATTTCCTCCCCACAGTTATCAGTCAGTAGTTTATTCAAATTATTAATTGATTAAATGGATTAATCTACTGATGCGGTTACAACCTTCACAATACTACCATTGCCTAAAAATCCCTCCTCTGAACCTTGTTCATTGGGGACCATGCTTTTTATACATATGCTTTTGGGGGGATATTCTAGATCCAAACCATAACACTGGCTTAAACTAAAGTGAGATTTGATTTTTCTAAAAGTAGACTGAAACAACCAACAATAAAAAAAAAAAGTACATGTATAAAGGCATGAATTGGTGTGAACATACTCTATATACAAAGATATGAAAAATTGTACTCTATTTGTATAATAAGAAGTGTAATGTATTCTGCTGTCATATATTTAAAAAAATAAAATCAATAAAACTGAAAAAAAAATAAAAAAAATAAAAGTAGACTGAAACAGTGTGAGTTAAAATAAAGTCTAAGACAGATTTGTACAAGATTTTGGGGAAAACTCAACTACTTTTTCTGCATGGCATATCATTTATATGATATGGGCTTAGCATTTATAAAATTATATGAATGTGATATTTCTTTCATAGGCCTATATGTTCATAAAAATGATATTTTGAAGTCAAAGTGAAGAATAAAATATATCTCTTTCCTGTTAATCCTGTTCTTGGTGTGTGTGTGTGTGTGTGTGTGTG